TAGTCCCATTAGGAGTGCTGCCAAATTGCAGTAATGGGGCTTAAACTACAGCCCCCACCAAGACCTGTAGGAGAAGGAGGAGAACTGAGGACTTTTCCTGGGCAGTTCACCATACAGTGAGGAACAGAAGTATTTGAACACCCTGCGATTTTGCAAGTTCTCCCACTTAGAAATTTTTAAAGAATTTATTTGTCTTGCACTGCTGAACATAAGTATTTGAACACCTGAGAAAATCAGTGTTAATATTTGGTACAGAAGCCTTTGTTTGCAATTACAGAGGTCAAACGTTTCCTGTAGTTCTTGACCAGGTTTGCACACACTCCAACAGGGATTTTGGCCCACTCCTCCACACAGATCTCCTCTAGATCTGCCAGGTTTCGGGGCTGTCGCTGAGCAACACGGAGTTTCAGCTCCCTGCAAAGATGTTCTATTGGATTTAGGTCTGGAGACTGGCTAGGCCACTCCAGAACCTTGATATGCTTCTTATGGAGCCACTCCTTGGTTATCCTGGCTGTGTGTTTCGGGTTATCATGTTGGAAGACCCAGCCATGACCCATCTTCAATGCTCTGACTGAGGGAAGGAGGTTGTTGCTCAAAATCTCACAATAAATGACCCCATTCATCCTCTCTTTAATACAGTGCAGTCGTCCTGTCCCCTTTGCAGAAAAGCACCCCCAAAGCATGATGTTACCACCCCCATGCTTCACAGTAGGGATGGTGTTCTTGGGATGCAACTCATCCTTCTTTTTCCTCCAAACATGACGAGTGAAGTTTAGACCAAAAAGTTCTACTTTGGTCTCATCTGACCACATGACTTTCTCCCATGCCTCCTCTGGATCATCCAGATGGTCATTGGCAAACTTCAGACGGGCCTGGACATGTGATGACTTGAGCAGGGGAACCTTCCGTGCAATGCATGATTTGAAACCATGACGGCGTAGTGTTCTACCGACAGTGACCTTTGAAACTGTGGTCCCAGCTCTCTTCATGTCATTGACCAGCTTCTCCCTTGTAGTTCTGGGCTGATTCCTCACCTTTCTTATCATTAGTGATACCCTACGAGGTGAGATCTTGCATGGAGCCCCAGTCCGAGGGAGACTGACAGTCATCTTTAGCCTCTTCCATTTTCTAACAATTGCTCCAACAGTTGATCTATTTTCACCAAGCTGTTTGGCAATTGCCCCGTAGCCCTTTCCAGCCTTGTGGAGGTCCACAATTTTGTCTCTGGTGTCTTTTGACAGCTGTTTGGTCTTGCCCATGCTAGTAGTTGGCGTCTGACTGACTGTGGGGTGGACTGGTGTTTTTAGAGAGCTCAGACAGGTGCTACTAAGTGAGATTAATGAGTGGAGTAGAGGTGGACTTTTTAAAGGCACAGTAACAGGTCTTTGAGAGCCAGAATTCTTGCTGTTTCTTAGGTGTTCAAATACTTATGTTCAGCAGTGCAAGACAAATAAATTCTTTAAAAATCATACAACGTGATTTCCTGAATTTTTTTTTAAATTCTGTCTCTCAGAGTGGGAATGCACCTACAATGTGAATTTCAGACCCCTCCATGATTTCTAAGTGGGAGAACTTGCAAAATCACAGGGTGTTCAAATACTTCTGTTCCTCACTGTAGGTCTGGGAGTGCAGCATGAGGCAAGAGAGTGTAAGGACCAACTACAGAGCTCTGTGTCTACATCCAGAGAGTATCATGCACGACCTGTGTGCTGAGGGTCTAAACCTTTGCCAGTATACAGCCCATGCTTGCTTACTTTCTTTTCATGTGATTAGGTGTTCTTTGCAAAGTGAAACTTCAACTCATTTACGAAGTTCTGAAGAGTCACTTGCAAAGTGCTGAATCTATATGTTAATATGAGTGAAAGATGCCTCCTCCATATGGTAAAACAAACAATATAGTAGATTTACCAATGCAACAAAAACTTGTCCGCTGCCCCTTTAAGTGTGAACCACACTTGAAATATGTGCAAAAGAAATTAAAGTAAGCGTTGGCCACATGTGCAACGGTACCAGCTAATTCTATAAATTGTAGTGAAATTACTAATTATTTAATGATGCAATTATTTCATTTGTCGTTGCACTACAATTTATAGTATTGGCTGGCACCATTGCACATTTGGCCAGCTCTTACTTTTCTTTCCTTTGCAGAATCTATATGCCTTTAGTAAATCCACCTCAGTGACTTTAGTGAGGCTTACATTTGCTTATGTATTTTTTGATCATATATTCTGTTTGGATTGACAAGGTTTGTGACACTCTTAGTTTAATATGGGCATTGACAATGCATTAGTCCAAAAGTTGTACTCAATAGAGAGCAAAAGTCATTCACTTGCAGTCTAGAGCAAAATTCCATTGTCCCCAATGGAAGTATACCACCTTGTGGAGTTGATGAATAAATGTTACTGTTACTAATGTACATCAGTAAATAAAACTATAGCTTGTTACATCAAAGCCTCTTCAACAGGCCAAATATTAAATATAGGTTGTTATGATAATATATGGTATATTTGTTTCCTAGCTATTCATTCATTGCCTTAATTTACATTTGTTTGGTGTAGTTGATATTTGTAGCAGCTATTCCTCAAATGTTGCAATTTGCTCTGGCTAGTACTCTGGTTTTTCTTGTGTAAGCATTTTGCATGCATCTCTTTCTGCATCAATAATAAAACTGTGTGATTTAAATAAGCAACAGCATAGAGAACAGAGTTGATATAAACCTTAAATCTCAGGGTACTCAAACTGCTAATACTGATCAGTAAGACATACGATATACTGTATTACCAAAAGTATTGGGACACCCCTCCAAATCATTGAATTCTGGTTTTCCAATCACCTCTATGACCACGGGGGTATAAAATCAAGCACTTAAGCATGCAGCTTCTACAAGCATTTGTGATAGAATGGGACGCTCTTAGGCGTTCAGTGAAATCATGCGTGGTAGTGTGATAGGTTGCCACCTGTGCAATATGTCCATCCATGAAATTTCCTTGCTACTAAATATTCCATGGTCAACTGTTAATTGTATTATAGCAAAGTAGAAGCAACTGGGAACAACAGTAACACAAAGTGGTAGGCCACGTAAAATGACAGAGTGGGGTTAGGGCATGCTGAAGCGCACAGTGTGCAGAAGTTACCAACTGTCTGCAGAGTCAATAGCTAAAGACCTCCAAACTTCATGTGGCCTTCAGATTAGCACACAAAAGCATTGGATGCAATGGGGTGAAGTATGCCACCACTGGACTCGATAGCAGTGGCGACAGGTTCTCTAGAGTGATGAATCACGCTTCTCTGTATGGCAATCCGATGGACATGTCTGGGATTGGCGGTTGCCAGGAGAATGGTACTTACCTGACCGCATTGTGCCAACTGTAATGTTTGGTGGAGAGGGGATGATGGTGTGGGGTTGTTAATCAGGGGTTTGGCTCTGCCCCTTAGTTGTAGTGACAGGAACTCTTAAGGCGTCAGCATACCAAGACATTTTGGACAATTTCATGCTCCCAACTTTGTAAGAACAGTTTGGGGATGGTCCCTTCCTGTTCCAACATGACTGTACACCAGTGCACAAAGCAAGGTCCATAAAGACATGGATGAGTGAGTGTGGGGTGGAGGAACTTGACTGGCCTGCACAGAGTCCTGACCTCAACCCGATAGAACACCTTTGGGATGAAATAGAGCAGAGACTGTGAGCCAGGCCTTCTCGTCTGACATCATTGCCTGACCTCACAAATGCGCTTTTGTAAGGATGGTCAAATATTCCCATAGACACACTCCTAAACCTTGTGGACAGCCTTCCCAGAAGAGTTGAAGCTGTTATAACTGCAAAGGGTGAGCCAACTCAATATTGGCTACGGACTAAGACTGGGATGCCATTAAAGTTCATGTGCGTGTAATGGCAGGCATCCCAATACTTTTGTCAATATAGTGTAGATCATTATATTGAGAGCAGCAGGAGAAGAAGGTAGTAAAGCTCTGGCTTAAAGTCTATTTAAACCCACAAAACAAAACAGCAGAGACACCATTGGACAGAAGCAATGTCAATCTGGGGAGAGGGTTGTGTTAGCCCAGAAGATTTAGATGGAGTTGACAAACAAATTAAAGCTGAAATCCAGCTAACACTTTTAAATGCAATTAAAGTCAAATGAAAAAACAAAATTGCACTGCATATTGGCACATTATGAAAAACATACCTTTTCATTGGCGCGATGTCAAGGCTTCCATCTTCACCCAGGTTCACGGGCTCCGGCCAATGGCCAAGCCATGATGATGTAATTCCCGAACATGTGCACAGGAGTAATGGCTGCAGCACAGAGCTCTGGACTGACTGCATGTTCACTGTGCTTTCAATTCAGAGCACAGTAAGCATGCACCGTTGCTGTCGTCAGCTGCAAAACATGTGAATATCTCCTAAATGGCGAACTTTTAGGAGATGTTCATTTTACCCAGAGGTAAGCTTTCTTATAAGCCTACCTGTAGGTAAAAGTGACCAAGTGGACTTTACTATCGCTTTAAGCAGTTATAGCAACAGCTTTTTATCTTTTTAGAAAAAGGTTTTACATACAGTAAACTAATAAAAGCTGACCATTGTAAGCACCCCTGTCAGTGTTTAATGGTTCATCTCAACCTTCTAACTGCCACTTTTGCTGGACAGCTTGGCCTAGTAAAAGACATTGAAAAATAACAGACTTACTGGCGGGATAAACAAGGAAAAAGCCTAAAAAACAAAAACTAACTCTGTCACCACATCTAATAATTGGTAATCTGCAATATAGAAAATGTTTGCTTTTGGGTTTAGAAACATGTCAAAGAAGAACTGAAGGCAAAACTTTTTTTTCATTTTGGATAAAGTAAGGGAGAGTTATAACAAAGAAACACAGCGCCTCTAAGTGTGTACTGTGAAGGTATTTAATAGAAAGATATGTAGTAACTCACATCTTAGAATTTAAAAAACAGGCTCATGGATAAGAGGGTGAGACGTCTGTAGCCAGATGTTGTTGTGTGTCTGATCCAGAGAGGAGATCGATTGAGTCCGCTAGCAGGTGGTGCTGTGCATGTACAACATGGATGGTATGCCTGGTGGAATCTCCAAGGTGTCTGTCAGCAGATGGTGCTGTGCATATGCAGCTGATGAAAGAGAGCGCCTGGACTCATCTCGTCCTGCACATGCTCAGAAACGCTTCGCATTTTGATGACGTCAGATGCCACATGTGCTGATCCCAGACATCTTAGAGATTCTGCCAGGCTTCGCCATCTATGCTGCATATGCACAACACCATCTGCTGGCAGACACCTTGGAGATTCCACCAGTCTTACCATCCATTCCATGTTGCACATGCACAGCACCACCTGCTGGCGGACTCAATCGATCTCCTCTCTGGATCAGACACACAACAACATCTGGCTACAGACGTCTCACCCTCTTACCCATGAGCCTGTTTTTAAATTTCTAAGATGTGAGTTACTACTTATCTTTCTATTAAATACCTTCACAGTACACACTTGGAGGCACTGTGTTTCTCTGTACCCTTCTGCAGAGTTATGCTTCACTCCTACGCAGCTTGCCCTTAGTGCCTACTGGACTACCTTCACCCCTGCCCATTTGGAACTCATCAAACATACATGAATTGCCACACCATGCACCTGTTAACCCTTTTGTAGGGAGAGTTATAACACCTGTTTTCTTTCTATCTGTGTCCCATTGGGGCAATATCTCTATGCTTTCTGTCACATAGCCAAAATAGGAAGCAAAAGAAAATCCCCCCAAAGTTAAGGAATCCTTGATGGTCAGCAGAACTAGTGTCCCTGTTGGAAGATTTTTCCTCTACTTCTGTTTCTCCCCAAAATTTCGGATTTTGTTTCACTTTCACTCTTAGTAAAAATAGTCTCCATGACAAGTAAAGGGGGCTAATCTTCCTAAAGGGAACACAGATAGCAATAGGAACCTGACATGTTTTGTAATCCATCCCCAATCTATTCAAAACTAAAAAAAGTTGTGCCTTTAGTTGTACTTTAGGCTTGCAGTGACTGCATTAAGCAGAGGCTTAGGGGGTTCCTGAAGCACTCACTAGAAAATACACATCTACGTGCAGTTACATCGATCAGGCTGTTTATATCTCTAAGGTTCAGGTTTTATACTTTCAGCTAAGTTTTCTCTGTAAAACTAGTCAGCTAGTCTTGGAAAAGAATCCACATCTGCTTCCAAGGCAACAGTTCACATGGGAACCCATCAAGGTCTAGAATCATTTGTTCTTCATGTAGCCTGCCAGTCAAATAGCATTGCATCTTCATTCATCCTGATATGTTATGCTGTTGTGTAATCTAAGCCTGTATACACTCCTAACAGTTCTCCAGTAAATAATTCTTCTTCTCAAAGCAATCCTCTTGCAGATGGAACTTTTCGTTTTCATAAACGCATGCAAAGGCTTACAGTATAATGAGGCTTACACCCTTTCATAGCTTTCTATAATAGACTTTTATTCTTTTGGCTCAACCCTTTGTAAGAGAAAAATGTATGAGAAGAACATTGCCTTTCTATGTTAGTCTATAGATGTGTTTATTCCAGTACAAAGTCTCTGATTTGCAAAAGAATTGCTTGCCCTGCAATTCTTCTAATTTGTGATTCATCAATGTCTGCTTCATGCCCATTTTCATGAGATGTCTGTGCTGCATCTCTATAAGCAAAAAGCTTGAAGCTGAAATTCAGGCTAAACATATATTTTCCAAATACAAGAGCCATGTTTATCCTTGCTAAGGATGAGCCTGGATTTGGTCTGAACCCATGCTCGGGTGAACTTGAACAGAAACAGTCAGTTCTGGCCCAATCAGCTGTGGCTGGGGCATTACCTGTAATGTAGCTGCATGTACACAAAGGGATGCTCATGACGTAATTTACTTAATATGGTTGCATGTCCATGTGTTCATACTAGGTCGATTATTTCTACTGTAAAAGCATTTCTGCTCCTTTATGTATGTGTGGTTGGAAAATGTGTGCCTCTTTGTGTATGGTCAATCTAAAAATGTCACCACTGGAAGATTTACTTTTATCTCTTGTTCTGGAGAAATCTCAGTTTTTCTCTACAATATGTAGTTATGGTCATCAGGGAAAGTTGAAAAGGTAAATCTACCTAACCAAAATGAAGCCACAATGTGCAATGCATTGGTTCTTCTCCCCTCACCTCCTTGACACCTTCCTAAATTCTGTGTCTTGTGAAGACCTGCCTTGCTAAGAGATCTGCTTTAGTAAACCTTAGTAGAAGATGGGTTCGGAGGAAGAAAGTCACTCCTAATTTGTGCCCTCTCTTTCTTTTCAGTAAAAATTCATTATTATTATTATTTATTATAATTACTTACTATAATTTAGTCGAATAGAGCAGTCCTGAGTGTAAAGTACACTAAGTGGGAGATTTACTAAAACTGGAGACCTCAGAATATGGTGCAGCTGTGCATGGTAGCCAATCAGCTGATAACTACAAGCTTTGACAATAAAACTTGGAAGCTGATTGGCAGAGCAGAGCTGCACCAGATTTTGCACCATGAAGTTTTAGTAAAACCCCCCTTAAATATGCTGAATTTTTTTCTTGTATTCATTTTTATATCTCAGCTCACCGTTTATGATAATATACTTTATTTAATTTATACTATTTAATTTATACTATATTTCAGGGGTTCCTCTGATTTAAAAAGTTTTAGAAAGAATGGCATATATTTCTAATGATTTCTAAAGATCAGATATTAGGCATTGTTCAGTACAATAGCTGTCATTCCTGAGTGATTTGGGACTATGTTAATTTACAAAAGGCCCATTGTGGATACCAACATATTAAAAATCATTACAGCCCCTGTCACTAGTACGATTAAATCAGGGACAAATAATTTATTACAGGTACTTATATAGCGCCATCAATGTACACAATGTTTTACATGTAGTATATATTGTACATTCACATCAGTCCCTAACCCTTAAGGAGCATACAATCTAAGGACCATAACTCACATTCATACATACACATACTAGGGTCAATTTAGACAGGATCCACCTACCAGCATGTCTTTGCAGTGTGGGAGGAAACCCATGCAGGCACTGGGGCTCAAGGAGTTAGTGCTGTGGCTGGCATTCGGGTTAGCACTTCCACCTGGCAGTACTAGGGTCATTGGTTCAAATCCCAACCACAGCACCTCCTGCCTGGAGTTTGCATGTTCTCCATGTGCCTGCGTGGGTTTCCTCCAGGTACTCCAGTTTCCTTCCGCACTCCAAAGACATGCTGGTAGGTTAATTGGCTCCTGTTTAAATTGGTCCTAGTATGTATATGTATGAATTTAAGGTAGGGACCTTAGGTTGTACACCCCTTGAGGGTTAGGGACTGATGTGAATGTACAATATATATGTAAAGCACTGCATAAACTTGACAGCACTATATAAGTACCTGAAATAAATATAAACCAACAACCCTATGTTGCCAGGCAGAAGTGCTAACCACTTAGCCACCATGCTGCCCAAACTGTTTATGTACCTGGCTAGTACCAATTTGCAGTCCTGAGCACTTCTGGGATCATTCTCAGCAGGAGGAGATCAGGAATGGACCTGGGACAAGGAAAAAAGGGGGCACCACAATAAAAACTTAAAACTCTGCTGGCAGCTTGTAGAAATGAACATTCATTATTTCACAATCATATAACAATATAAATATTATTTTAAACACATTCCAAAGCTTTCTAAACATTTTTTATTTCTACTCTACTATTACATGTTTATGGGGACAGCGTACTCTAATAGGGTGCAATTTAGCAAAAATCAGAAGCCATAATTTGTCATTGAGAGCTAGAAGTTTCGGCACTAAACTTACCAAACCTGTGTGCAGCCACTGAAAACAAGCATCAGAATGAAATGGAATTGTAAGTGGAAAACTGTTTTAAAACTCTGCCTGGGACTCAAGAAATTAAAGGAAACCTTTTTTGGGGATTATGGTATAGAAATATGGGAGCTGTCTGCTGACTTGTTCTTAAAGGTACAAACTCCGGATGCAAAGTGTTGAAACATGTGAAATACAGTACATATCTGTTCAAAGTCACTGGCTCACCATGTCAACATGACAGCCCTAGAGTTTCAATGACCTTTACTAAAAAGACATACTCTGTTGTGGTTTTTGTTGTAATTAAATATGTACAATATAGCACACACTATAAAAAATACACAAAGTATAAAAAAAAAAGCCATTAAAAAAAAAATTTGAGCACCATGTGACCAAATAAAAGAAAAAAAAAAACTAAAATAATTAAAACAAAACTAAAGTAATTTAAATAATTAGAAAACCTCATGATAACTACTCAAAATTAGAATTTACTAAAAATACAGTCCAAATGTTTTAAAGGGTATGTCCACCGATAATTGATACTTCGGGTTTTCGGTAGATACTTAAGAATTAATGCTGAACTGCTCCCAGGAGAAGAAAAATATATTGTTACCAAAGGTGCTGCCTTACCTTATTTATAATAGCTGTTCATTTAGTTTTGAAATTCATACTGCCCAAGTTTATTTTCCTCCAAGCATGCCCTATATGCCTGTTTGTTCTATGTTGTTCCCATTTGTGCGATCAGGCATCACTGTGTGCTGCCCATGGAGAAATGGGTCATATAACCTCCTACATGTAGTGAAAGGGTCTGATCTCCGCATCACACAATCATGATCTGCCCACTGTCACTGTAGTCATGGCCTGCAAACAACCAGTCTTATTGCCATTCCTCATTGTGATGTCATCACATTACCACTGGAGTCTTTAGGACATTACGAAGACGCCACTGATGTTCCCAATAGGAAATGTCCACTTCACCAGGCATCAACATGGGCACAAAAAGTAGTAACCTCTGCATTCAGGAAGGAGAATGTTTCAGGACCAGGTTTTTACATGGCTAAAGATTCAGGTAAATATTTGGGTTTTGTAAAAATATTTTTTTAATGGGATAATTAGCTAGAGGGTTGGGTGGGTCCTTGGCTGGACTTCCATTTTAAGCCATCTGGCAGTTATCTTATTAATTAATAAATCTATTAAAGTGCAGTGTATCATTTACTAAATTAAAGAGTGAAAAAGAGCACCTTGATAGCCAAGTCCCAAATCTGAAGGTAGCAGATTCTTACATCACCCAGTGACTCTACTAGTAAGATATTTGTGCTTGAGTTCCTGGGTCTGCATATCTGCTCTTTGGCTGCTAATAGAGGTTCCAAAACTACATTTGTGCTTTCTTAATTAGAAGAATGTAATAGAAGTAACTAGAATTTGCATAGGTGAATGGGAACACCCAAATCTCCCAGGTGAATAGGAACAGGAGTCAGGAATTATGGCAGGGAGATTTCACTCTTAGGTAGTTGATACGATTTTCTTTCCTGCAACCATGGGAAAATCACTTGATTCCCCCACCAATACATTATAGCCGCTAGCAATAATCACTGTTTTCTCCCAGCAGAGATGGATCTCAATGCCCCCCGCAGGGAGAACACAGTGATTATTGCTAGCAGCTATAGCCACTGGCAATAATTGCATGTAAACATCCAACATGCTGATTGTGCCCAAGTCAATTGATGGATCGACTAAGGTACAATCAGCCTGCCCATAGATGGATCAAATCTGGACTGGTCCTTGCTGAACCAGCCGATTCAATTCTATGGCTGGCTTCAGGGTATCCAAGATATTAAAAAAACAGGGTCTGACTCAGCTTACCAGGTTCCACCTATAATTAAATATCACTGTAGATTGACAGACCCTTTAAGTCTAGACTCTCTAGATATACAGTATGTGTTTTTTAGTCACTTAAGAAAACAAAACATATTCATAATGCAAATTGGAAGTAAGTTCATTTATATATAAAAATACAAGCTATGAAAGGAACATCATATTTCTGCAGTACTATTTTATACTGTGTGGGAATAGCAGGGGAGTTTTCATAAACAGTGTGTTGAACAGAATAGTGTATATTTCAAGCAGTGGATGTAGTTAGGCTGCAGGCGGTCTAGGTGCAGGGTTATCCCTATAATAGAGCAAAGAGATGGTCTTGCCTTTGGTAGTGACTTCTCTAGATGCTATAAGACACGTCGATTATATCTCCTACTGGCATGCCAGCTGCCCCCTGCTATTATGGATAGAGAAAGAACAATGTAGAAACACAACATCTGCCCCCCTGTATTGTACACCCATCGTTCATAATAGCAAGAAAAAGCTGCCAAAAGCTGAGGATTAAAGTAGGTCTAAACCCAAACTGGATGACATTAAATCAACATTTTTTAAAAACTTTTTTTTTTATCCACTTGTAAATCTCAGTGTTACTGATCTCCACCAGTCTCTTTCAGCTTCTTCCTGTCTACATACGTGAGTTTCATAGTTACAACAGTGGACCATGTCTGAACAATGTGTGTCAGCACAGCTGCTTGTAGCCTTCACCAGGGTTCATGTGACAGCAGGACAATGCAGGACAGTTGTCAAAGCATAATAAGGAATATCGGGAAAATGACCTTCTTGGCAACAGCATCAGATATTTTGATAATGAACACCTCATTGTTAAAAGTATTGAGAACAACTTTTGACATTACATTAACATGTTAAAAGCTCATGACATTTTAGTGATTAGGGATAGGTCTACTCTAATGTCTGAGCAACCGATTCCTTAACAGGCAAAGGTGCAGTCCACCCTTACATGGATTTAGTGCTCCCTTTCACTGGCAGTCATTGGTGTTGTACCCCCTTACAATAGTGGCCATTAGTGAAGTGCCCTCTTTTGCTGGCAGTTATTAGTGTAGTGCCCCCTTTATTGGTGGATGTCGGTGAAGTGCCCCCTTTCACTGGTAGTCAATTGTGTAGTGCCCTCTTACTATCATGGCCATTGGTGAAGTTCCCTTTTTCACTGTCAGTTATCCGTGTAGTGCACTCTTACATTGGTGGCTATATTGGCAAAAAGCCCCATTTCACTGGCAGTGATTAGTATAGTGTCTTCTTACATTGGCAGTCAGTGGAATGAAAACAGTTAAAATATAATTGGTGGCAGTGGTTATGTTACTCAGAGTCAGAAAAAATTCTGTACAACATATTTATGATTGGAGAGGGCTAGCTGGAGGACTGAGGGCATTACTAGTAAGATATATTCGGTTGGTGACCCTAAGTGAACATGCTTCATCATTTGGATTCTGATCAGATTGGAACCTGTAATCAGTGACACATGCTGTGCAGTATAATGTATACCTACCTGTGATCAAGGCGTCTGGCAAGGGAAGTCTTTCAGGACTATCTTCCTTTGAGCTCTAAAATGTTGTGTGACTGAATATCAAGGGCCACAAAGAAAGTTAACACTGGAAGATGTGAAGGTGTGTCAGAATAAACCATGACCTTTAGGATCAACCATCTGGCCTGTCAGGGACCTCAGATCTGGCCGTGATCGTGCACTGGTCTGCGTATGCGCGGTATGCCCGGCCGCACTAGCGTGCGAGCATTGGGGACCTGGGCACCCGCGACAGCAGCGCATGCGCACTCACGATCGCGGACGCGTGCCTGGCACCAATCAGGGCACAGGGCGCCCTATTTAAAACAGGACAGGTCTGTGTTCTAATTTCTGTATGGTCTTACCTGTATCCTGTGTTTCCTGTATTGAGATTGCCTTGTTGCTGACCCTGCTTGACCCTGATTTGCTGATTGTCTCCTGTTCTGATCCCTGGCTTGTCTGACCATTCTCCTGTTTAATCCTGCATGTTCTGATCTCCTGTTACCGAACCCGACTTGTGACCCGTTTATCCTTCTGTCTATTGTTTTGGTACCATTCTGCCTCCACCGTTACCGACCCGGCCTGCCCGACTCTGTTCTCGCTAACCTCCTCACATCAGGCTCTCACCTGCTATACACCTCCGGTGGTGTTTCTACCACAGCTGGGTGAACCCAGGGGTCGCAACCTGGTCTCGGCCTGCTCCAAGTCCATCCCCACCATCAGGGGCCCTGGTAAACAAGCAGGCTGGACTTAGATTCCGCACCTTGGGGGATTCCAGTCTGTGGAACGCTAGAGGCTACCGCCGGCAGGGACATAACATGGCCACTACTAACTGCAGAACCATGACACCCTTTGCATTGTTCATATAGAAGCCACTTGGTTTTGTTTGCCCACCAAGCCAAAGACCCAAGTCCACCCCTGTTTCTGATGCTTCTGGCTGTGTCAGTCGATGCTGTGGCTGGGACATTGCAGGCACTTTTGGACAGGGGATACATCCACCTGGTAGTGCCTGCACATAAATAGTAAAGTAAATCATCTTAGAGGCTGTTTCCAGGGGATTTGTAAGGAAGCTAGCAAAGAGCAAGTTTAATTGGACAGAGTAGTTTTTCATTATCATTACTGATATCTATCTGTGGTCTGTTTTATTCATTGTTGCACATGGATATGCTTGCTCCAGCAGCTATTCACACCCATTTGCATTTAATTGCTCATTGCGACTACCTGAGAATGATCAGCCCTGGAAAGATGGGCTCTATCTAGGGCAGATCAATATATTTCCACAAGCAAAAACAAAGCTGAGAGCACTGCTACCCTATATAATTTGTTAGGTGGGGTAAATTTCCATATTGGTGCCTCGCTCTAAAAGTCTACATGCCATTCAGATAGGAAATAATCAAAAGAGCCAGCAACACAGAAAGATGAAATCCAATCTTCTTTATTCAAAATATGATGAAGAAGTAACATTTCAGGAACAAACGTGTTGATGCGTTTCAGCCTATGCAGCCTTAGTAATAACCACTTATGACTAGGACCTGCATAGGCTGAAACGCGTCAACATGTTTGTTCCCAGAATATTACCTCTTCATCATATTTTTGAATAAAGAAGATTGGATTGCACCTTTCTGTGTTGCCGTTTCTTTTGATTAGTTCCTAATATTTCGACAAGCAATTATAAGCAAGCAGCCATGAAAACCTGAGGGAATTGTCAGCCTCCCATTGTTTTCAATGGGGCTTCTGCCTGCAGCTAATTGCAGGGAATCATCTCTGGCTGTGTTTTTCTGCACACCATCACACATGTATGGTGTGAACATGGGAAAAAGTTGGTTTCACATTTTTATTTTTGGTTAAAATCAACTACAATAGCATGGAGAGGAAAAACGAAGTTTGACGACAGTTAATGATTTGCAAAAGTTCTCAGCACAAAGATGATAAAATGCTATCCACAGTGCCATCCAGTGGTAATTGTGGGGATGGGGATGTTCTTGTGTATTCACCCTACCCCCGTTATCCCCCTCTTTTCATCCATTAAATTTTATTTGCTTTCTTCTATTTTGTGTTCTGCTGCAGAATATTTTTATTTTTCATGAGGCTTATTTAAGTGTATTGAATTATGTGGTCAATGGAATACTTCAACAGCTGAGTAAATCTACTGCTGTTAAAGAGCGATTTGGAATATTTCCATTAACTGGCTATTTACAAAAGATTTCTATCTTTTTGTTACACAATGAGGGCGATTACAACTGACACAAATGACCTTAATAACATTTTAATCTACTGAAAACACCATTTTAGCCATTGCATGGCAATTTTCTGTTTGAAATATTACGCTATATTGTGCCAAATTGTTCTAATTATTTTCAGTGGCAAAATAACAATGTAATGCTGCTTCTTCCATATAAATGTACTTTAAATGTAAGAGAGATAGTGCCTTTAAATTTCTAGCTGATAATAAGATAAAAAATATATAATTAAAACATGCTTCAATAACTTTCTTTCTATCCTTTATTCAAGGTTGTAGGATAATGGAAGAAGTTGGTATAATTTTGCTTCAAATTTGTGGCCAATGATTCTTAAGGGAAATAAGAATGATGTTCTTCTGAAATTACAGGCTACCTGCCTATTATATGTCATGCTAACTTTAAAGAGTGTGTACGAGTATAGCCAAAACATTTCTTTTGTGTGAGTTTAATGCAGCCATTCTCAACCAAAGTTCCTTGGAACACTTGGGTTCCTCCAGAGGTGGCTAGGGGTTCCTTGAGCTATGGGTAGTTGACGCCCCTATGTGATGGTGCATGCATTGTTCCAGGTCCAACCCCACTTGGCAGACCTATAAGCAGGGGCGGACTGACAACTCATGGGGCCCCCGGGCAATAGGGGATCATGGGGCACCTGTGTCCTTGCCCAAACTCAAAAAAGCCTATAAAAAAGGTACCAGGGGCATCTCATGGGGCCCCCTACTGACCCCGGGCCCTCGGGGCGGCGCCCGAGTTTCCAAATGGTCAGTCCGCCCCTGCCTATAAGCATGATTGTAAGAGAGCATTCTGAACACCCCTGTAATTGTATCATTCTTACCACTTACTATACCCCCACCAATGTTTGTGACCACCAGAGGACTAATCTCAGCAGGGGTTCCCTGAGACCTGAAAGTTTTTGCAAGGGTTCCTATGGGGTAAAAAGGTAGAGAAAGGCTGGTGTAAGGGATTGTGTTGAGGAGTGTTCTTTTCAAATCTCAGTTTGAATGTCAAACCCAGCATTTAAAAAAAAAAAAACACTGCATTTGATCTGCTTTACATGCAGTTCAAACACACTTCAATAGTGAAAAAAACCTCAGCGCACTGCAGAGTGGCAATACAGAGCAGATCAAACACAACCTATGAACTGCCATGTGTTCTGCTCAATTAAAGTCAATAGGATATTGCCAACCTGTATTTGACACCAAATGCAGGAAAAACAGCACCAGCTGACATGAGTCTTTAGCCCTTAGGGCTCATGTTGATGGGTGTTGCTTTCCTGCATGGAAAGCATGACAAATACAGGTCAGCAAAATCTTATAGATTTTAATTGTGGATTACACATGGCAGTACACATAGCAGTTCAGAGGCTGTATTTGACCTGCTTTGGGTTGCGTTGTTTTTTTTTTTTTTTTTTTGCAGCATGTTATATTGAGGTGAGTTTGAACTGTGTGCAAAGCAGGTCAAATACAGAATTCTCTTCTTAACGCTGGGTATTCAAGTGCATGTATTTAAGTTTGAATAGCAAGCGCAGTTTTTTGAAAAGAATACCCATCAAACAGGTTCTAAGACTTGCACATAGGCTCTCTTGAGCATGGATGAATTTGGGTTCAATATTAACCCAGAATTTAGTTGCATTGCTGGACCAATGAGCTAAGCCCCACAACTGCATGTATGCAAACGGATGGGGACACAATTATGTTGCCCTAATATGACCATGTGATCGTATTAGGTCAATGATGTCACAAGGATTCTCGCCCCTCTGTTCCATGCAGCTATGGAGCGGAGAATCTCTCTTCCCTTGGGTTCAGGAGAAAGGGGTGTGGACTGACTTTGGTTCCAAACCGATCTCATTCCTACTCTTGAGTCAGTTTAACCACTTCAGTACCAGCCTGTATATACCTCTTCACTACCAGGCCATTTTTAAGTTTTGTTATGCAATGATATTGACAATTAGTCATGCAACAATGTAACCAAATTAATTTTATATCCCTTTTCTTTTTAGACAGAGATTTTTTTGGTGATATTCAATAATTGCTGTTTTTTATTATTTGCTGTACAAAGGGAAAAAGGCAACATGTTTAACTACTTTACTACCACGCTAATTTGAATGATGGCTACAGCATGGTCGTCTGGTTCTGGGAGGGTGCCATATGATGTCCTCCCAGAACATTCCCCTCACACCCCACCAGGGCCGCGCACCTGTCCTTTGGACACAGCAATCACATGACATGGTAAAAGGCCAATCACAGTGGCCTTTTACCACATGATCAGCTATATCAAAAATCACAGCTGACCACTACGTAAACACACTTGCCGGTTAATGGCAGTACTTTCCTCACGCTGTCACAGTGTGAGGAAAACACTGCCGGTAACTGGCAGCTGTCAAAGCAGATATATGCACTGATAATCAGGGCAGCCCCAAAAGTGCCAATCAGTGCCCAACAGTCCTGCCTATCAGTGCCCTGCAGTGCTGCCCATGAGTGCCCAACAGTGCTGTCAATCTGTGCCTGTGAGTGCTGCCAGTCAGTGTCGCAAGTCAGTGCCCTTCAGTGCTACCTATTACTGTCCACCAGTGCTGCCTCATCAGTGCCACCTTATCAGTGCTGCCTATCAGTGCAGTGTCATCAATGCACATCAGTGAATGATTCATGTTTTCAAAATTTTATAATAGAAGCAAAGAAAATCTTTTTCTTTTCAAAATTTTCAGTCTTTTTTTGTGTAGCAAAAAAAATAAAACACCCAGTGGTGATTAAATACCACCAAAAGAAAGCTCTGTTCATGTGAAAAAAAAATGCTAAAAATTTCATATGGGTATAGCATTGCAATTGTCATTTAAGGTGCGACAGCACTGAAATCTGAAAATTGGCTTGGACAGGAAGGGGGTAAAAAACCAGTAGGCAAGTGCTTAAACATGTCAAATAAAAAATGCTAGGACAGTAGAAAATACCCCTGAAATTTTTTGGAAAGTAGACATGATCTCATTTTTTGCTGCAAATTATATGGGAGATGAAAAAAAATGCTAGTATGAAGGGTTACAAAAATAGAGCTTAGTAATAGGGTACTTGAAACATTAAATGTACAGGTCACACTTAGCAAGGAGGAGGTGAAAGGGTTAACATACTGGTCAAGTACAACTGGAGGATGGGGATTAAAGGGTTAATATTTTGATGTGCAGGATAATGGAGGTGAAGTTCACATAAAGACATCATGGGGCAAGAATACAAGAAAAGAGTGAATGGGAGGTGAAAAGGATTTAAAACTTTTCACCAGAGCTGATGATCTGGAACTAATGAGTCATTCACTCATTAGTGACTCCTATTTTACCTTCCCCCACTGTAAGAGGAAGGGGAGGGTTCACAGATGTAAACATTACACTGTTTACTTATGTGATCACTGTGATTGGTCAGCACAGCAGTCACGTGGTACAGGGCCTCTCAGACTGACTTAGTTCATAGCCATTAATGAGTGCACTTGCTGCCCGAGGGTTATTTCTGGAGTGATGTATATAAACGGTACAGCAGAATAGCTGTGGTTAAAGTGAAGCTGTGGCATTAACTTGGAAAGAGAAAGCAAAGGGTCACTTTAAATGTGACATTTGCACATCTAATTGGAGTGTACTTTTACATTTTTTAAATGGCATTAACATAATCTGCCATTATATGATTCTGATTAAATTGTTAATTAAAAACGTATAACTGTTTTAAGGCCTGGTTCACACCTATGCATTTTTAGTGCTTTTTGTGTTTTACAGTAATACACTACAGTCCATTTAACATGGTTTCCTATGGGACATGTTCACAGCTATGCATTTTCAGCAGCTATTTTTTGGAAAGGGTCAGGGACTTTTTTCAGATTGCAACAGGCATAGGTGTGAACCAGGCCTAAAAAAAGAGTTACCATCAGGGTCAAGACTGTGCTGGTTAATTGTTTATTTACTGTTTGCCTGTTTTGTAGATACAAATGTTGAACTGACATTTTCTAACAGGTAATGTTTGCAGTCAGTTGGTGGAAGTGAGAGGATTCATTAACAGTATTTTGGTCAAGCCTCAGCTTGTGTCTAGACAAGTAAGGTCATTAACCTATAGTTCACACTGAAAGTTTAATACATTTTGGTTCTTGTTTAGAATACAGTATGAACATTCACATTATTATGTCTCTCTGTGTATTGTGATACATAACATGTACACCTATTAGCTGTGTCCACTTTTTAACATCCTCCTGTTTAGTGAGTTTTGTTTCGCTCACTGTTTATTACTGTCTGGATGAGTTGAGTTGCATTATGTTACTCCCTTAGCATTATTATGTTTATTGAATGACAGCCCAGGCAATAGCCGTAGTCCTAAGTGTCTCAGGATAAAGGTGCATTTTTTCCATTATACTGTTTCTGTGCTGTTTATAAATTGTTCTCACTCATGCTACAAGAAAATGTATTATTAAAAGACTTAATGTGAACCCATTGGGATCAGCTTACCTGATAAAGGGTCAGCCACCTCCAAATTACTTCCAAAGTGTCCTAGAATTTCAAAAAACCCTAGGTACTTAAATATGATAGCAGTAAACAAAACTGATATGGTCACATTCTATGGACTGCTCATGTTTTTATGCCTCCATTTGAGTTACCAAAGTAATGAGTGGCTACACTTGGAGACAGGTGCAGTTCATTTTCCCACCTGTAGGTGACCTTGTGCCTTTTCTGCATGGGAAGAGGGGTCTTGTAAGGGAATTGGTGTCATAGGGATTCCATCCAGTGCTTCCAGAAGAGAAGCTGTCCAATTGGACAGAATGCTTGGGAGACTTGGCAGCCATTTTGGGTGAGGGAACCTTTTTGAATAAGAAAACCCACATCACCTTGGCATGCTTTGGTTGAGTGATTGGACAGGAACAGGAATGAGCTTATAATGGACAGTATTTTGCATGTGGAGAGGTTCAAGGTGAGCAGGGAAAGCTCCTTGAAAGCTCTCTCAACACTACATTCACTTTAGTGAGCAGTACAGGAGTGTGGAGTCAATGCAGTTTGCTGAAATTTATCCCCAGGCATTGTGTCAAGGAGCACTACCTCCAGTAACTAAAGCAGTCCTTTGGTAACACATCTTGTCAAATGCTGCGACTAATTATTCCCTGAACTGTTGTAGTAAACCTACTCAAGATCAATATAAAATATTTTAGTGTACCATATACTGTGTGTAGGTGATTCCCCCCAAAGTGTACCTAACTTAGGCCCAGCCTACACACTGACCAACAGAGAGAGCGCTCCAGGTTTTGAAAATACTCAGGACTATGGAAGTAATCTGCAGATCACTGTCAGCACATGGAGGTGTGTTCTCCAGGGACCTAGGACAACTGACTTCACAGGCTTACATCAAAGAGAATCTGTGGCCAGGCTATAGATATTCAAGGACTGAACTATTCTTAAAGTTGCTCTGTTACTCAAAAAAAAGTAAAAAGAATTGCCTCTGCAATACAAGACTCTGAAAACTTACCTCAATGAAAGGCAGTGAGTCTGAACTTTGCTGTCCTCAAGTGGTACAGCCTCTGGCAAACTCTTGAGCATTCAACACTTCCGGGAGTGTCAAATCCGCCTGTGTTAAATACCCCAGCTGCATCCATTTGTTTCTTCTGTAAGTCCCAACATCCCTACTGTGTCCTGTAGTGACATTGGGGCTAGTGAGAAGAACCAAAGTGCCCTGAAGAAGATTCAAGCATTTGATACTCCTGGGAGTGTTGAAACTTGAGGATTTTGCCCCGAGAATGTTCCACTGTAAGACAGCAGAGTTCAGACTTTTCATTAG